GAATATTACCAGCAATACATTTTTGGAGAAAATAAATATTGCCAGAAATATATTTTTGAAAATAATTATATTACCAGCAATACATTTGACTCTCGACAAAAAAAAAAATCCTCTTTACAAAAATACATCAATGAAACCTGATCTACAAACTGATTTCTTAAAAAGAATATATATTATTTAAAAAAAAAAAAAAAAAAACTCTTGTCGGCATTAAATAACCCATTGTGGTTGATATGCCGTAAAACAAAATAAACCAAACTAAAATTACATTATATTCAATTATGAGGGTAGACTGAAAAGTTAATAGGCTGACAATGAAGGAATGATGCTAGAGCTGTGAAATATTTTAACCAGTATATTTATTTCAGTTGGAAGGGCCTCGTATATAAAAAATGCAAAATACGGCTTCGATCTACTGAATAATAATATCTTTTGTTTTTAATGGGTTTTTCTAACAGCTGACGAGAAGTCAATATATAAGCTTATTTAATAAAAAAAAAATGATTTTGGTGTTGACTCTTATCATTTGAATGATTGGCGCAACATATTCTACCTATCTGCGTTTTCCTGTACTGTATTATGCAAGGTTTATGATGCACCAAATCTTCGCCTGGCAGTGACGTCTTCTCTATCTGCGTTGGTGATAAATAACGCCAAATAACGTTAGAATTTCGAATGATGCATTTAAAGTCAGCTAAATCCGTTCACCTTTAAAAAAAAATGGCTCAACACTGTCTTCCTTCCGTCATTTGCCCCCTTGTTCTACCCTGTACGAAAATTCGTAAGTGCAACGTGCGGGAGAAATATGTCCCAAATATATCACCCAGAAATAATGGTAAGACATTAGTGGCAATGGTGTCTTCATTTAGCTAATGTCTTACCACTATCTGGGGATATTTTGGGGAGGTATATGTGGGAGTTATTTCTGTCAAACCTTATATATAAAAAAAACATAATCTTATCAAGGGAGTACAGAACTCTAAATTCTGCCAAAAACTCAGATTTTAACGTCCTGCTTTTTTTACTCACTATTCTCCCAATCTAAGGCTAAGATTGCTAATCCAAGATGACTAAATGCTTTTGTCGTATGAATGTAAAAAGAAATGTAAGAAGTGGGGATTATTAGAATATGTAAGAAAAATAACAGTTATAATCCTACATTTGAAGCGGTTAACATAGTAACGAAAGGGGAAGTAACCTCTCAGAAATCTGTCCCACAAAGCAGCAGGTCTTGGGGGAAATGCTTAAATATAGATTTCTTTCGGAAAGACGAATTCGAATTCCAGTCGAAACCATTACATTCACTTACGTGCTAATACCCTTGGGAAATGTATGAATCATCATCTTCTCATCCTAGCTATGGGTAAATACCAGGACAGACTGGGTTCTATAGCCTTGGATGGCAACTGGTCTACCGCAGAAAGAAATGGCAACCGACTGCGACAAAAAAAACTTACCTCGTCAGTCATGTATCGAAAGATACATGATCGCCTAAGCGTGTATCACGCATGACACATAACTGACTGATTCCTTGTATATATGCCGAGTTCGAATTCCAGTCGAATCCATTACATTCAATTACGTGCTAATACCCTTGGGAAAGGTATGAGTCCTCTTCTTCCCCCCCAGCTATGGGTAAATAGTAGCATAAACCGGGTTCTATAGTCTTGGATGGTATCTGGTCTAGAAATGGCAACCTACTGCGAGTAAAAAAAACTACCTTGTCAGTTATGTATCGAAAGATACATGATCGCCTAAGAGTGTATCACGCATGGCATATAACTGAATAGAATATGAACGGAATAGGAATGATTTAAGCACAGTAATATCTATTGAAATGGTTACATGTAACCGTAAGTTCTATGCTAACAGTTTCTTCTCTCGCACTTCTTGCTTGTAAAACTCTCTCCTGGCGTTTAGTTTTCCAGCTAACTTTTATCTTCAAAATTTAAATAGGATGTTAGTCATTATCTTCTCTTCTTAATTTCTGTTCTTTTATTTTGTCTCTCTCCTTAATGGTGTTTTCTTACATTCTTTCACGCTCAGTAACAAATGGGGTGAAATGATTTTAAAAAAAAAGAAAAAAGCCAGCAGTGACTGTAGGCAAGCAATTAAGTTAAAATACAGACAGCATTAACAATGTCCATTAAGCTTGCTTTGTAAAGCTTGCCTAATAAAGTCAATATGCGTCGATAGTATTAATCATAGTACGTTCTCGCTTATGAACAACACGAGACTTCTACCTTTTTGTATGTGTCGCGTCCTTTGTGGTACTTAGCAATGTTTGTCCCTTTGCTAAGCCTCCCGCCCCCATGTCCTCTATCTATTCACACAAGCTCGTCGGCTAAATGACTCACTGCTTTTCCCTATATCGCTTTTACCCTCAATAGACCCTGTGAAGGTTAAGTTTTCCAAGCTTTCATTCATTATTATGCCCGCAAGAAATGTCATCTCTCTCTTTCTGATTCTGTGTATAAGTGTTCGTTTTGTTGTCATTTTCTTTAAGACCTCCTCGTTTTATTAGCTTCGATACTCCGGTATTTCTTGTCAGTCGATGTAACAGCCATTTTAAGCATTTCCTGGGCAATAATTACCTAGCGTATTGCATAACTAGCAGCATGGCCCGGCGTTGCCCGTGCTTGATTCAAAAATCGTACGACTCATACAGCAATCGCTATCACTTGACCTGAAATATTTTTGCCCTTCCTTGCCTTTAAAGGAGTGCCCTATGCCGTGCTGATGTTGCTACATGCCTTACTTCTTGCCTATTTCACACTGCGGATTTTTTCTAAGCTCTATACTAAACATTAAATCTGTTACGAAAAAAGAACTAAACAAAATAAACACAAAACGATCAGCTTTAAAAAAAAAGGACTCGTAACTGGAAAAACCGAATGAAAAAAGAATGTTAACAACAAATACTTTTTCACACCCAACCCAGTTCTGCGGAATCAGAATCAACGTTGAGTTTAAGCAAACGAATGAGCCAATTGGAGTAAAGTGCCATGTAGATTTAAATTTTTCCCACTTGTGACGAATGCAGCTATCGATTTTTTTTTGCATGCTAGCATGCTAGTTAACATTCGTGTCAGTCAGCTGTTGGCTCTCACGCTGGCTAATAGAATCTTCCTGCCTATTCGTGGCAGCCAGCTATTGGCTCTCACTCTGGCCAGCAGAAAATGGCCGCGAACTACATGAAAACTGCCGTAGAAGCATGAAAAAATCGATTATTTCTATTATCGATGGGAGTTGAGAAATGCAAAGTCGGTCTTGGCCTTCCCACTAACTTGGAACATGTGCATGTAATTTTTGGTGCAAATCCGTCGAAAATTGCGGCCGTGCATTCGTTACACACACACACACTCACACACACACACAAACACATCCTGCCTTTTATAGATAGAGATTTACGTTAGCAAGAATTATTCTCCAACCTTCAACCCCCTCCCCCACAGGCGGGATGTGGTAAGCCTCTCGCTGATCCACCGCAACTTCGACGGAAAGTGCTCGGATGAACTACACTGCCTGGTCCCGCCAAGGCAAACATTCACGGCAAGAACACGCCATGCTACTTACATAGTAGCAAATCACTCACATTCCTTCCGTATTCCATCGGTGAGAAATAAGTTCATCTCGTGGAGCTCCTTCCCGCGAGCCATTGCCCAGTGGAATCGACTTTTCAACGGGATATTTTTCTCGATAAATACAATCTCTTCAAGACTGGAGTTAATCGGTATCTCCCTCACCTATACACACAAATGGCCTCCTAAGATAATCCTCCACCTCAATAGACTCTTAATTACTAACTACTGTTACTATAATTTCTATAAATTTTCCTATAAACAAAAATTTGGTCTATCCATGGGATCACCTATCAGTAGTGTTCTCGCTTACCTCGTTATATAATTCTTAGAATCCGTCCCATTTAAATATTTCATATCTAACAGCTATACTTATATGAGATAGTTAAAGGTCAGCACTCACTGTAAAAAAAGAAAAGTCTACCTTAACAAACGGATTTAAATAAACTTTGAAGTCCTAATTCATGCTAATGACTTTCGAATGAGAGCCTAAGAATTTGCAATAAAAAATAAATTAAATTAACATGAATAAAAATTTTTTTAAAATCCGATAACTAAAAGTAAGAACTCATATTGTTCCAAAAGATCTCAGAATATTGCAAGTTTCTCTCTGTTTGCTCTAAAATCGTTGCCTCTTACCTGACTTTTAAACAATAAATCAAATGAAAACCAAACAGAGAAGTGCAAATCTTTCACGACGCTGTGTGGTTTGAACTCATTTTCATTCTACCCGTCTCTCAGTGTATTAGCGTCTCTGGTTGTTTTGTAAATACCTGCCATTCCTCGGGGTACTCGTGCCAAATTGATCTGACGAATAGATTTGAAACATTTCCGTTAGTTGCAAATAGTGATGTCTGAGCCTGAGGCCAACCCACTCGTCTTGACGAATATTAAGAAGAGGTGACTGGTGAGATAATTCTGAAATTCAAAAGCATTCCCACTGAGAAGCGATAGGGCTGTGGGTAAGAATTTTATTTTCTTTGAACTACTCCGTGGCACTGACATTAAAAGAGACAGTAGGGCGGGAAGAGAAGTGAAAGACAGACTGAAAAGATGGATGACTAGAGGAAAAGAAATGGAGAAAAGTCAGCGAGTGAAATATGAAATAAATTGATAAAAAGAGAAAATGAAGGATCTTGTATTTCATTCTTCTTCTTCTTCTTTTTCTTCTTCATCATCATCATCATCATCATCAACAGCAGCAGCATCTTTTCTTCCCATATTTTTATGCTCTTTCTTCTTTTTCTCCGCCGCCTATTCTTCTTCTTCTTCTTCTTCTTCTTCTTCTTCTACTACTTCGCCGCCTATTCTTCTTCTTAATTGTCTTTTGTTCCCATATTTTTATTCTTTTTCCGACGCCTCTTCTTGTTCTTCTTTTTCTTTTTCTTCATCATCATAATCTTTTCTTCGCATCTTTTT